TGCCTTAGCGGATGTTTGACAGTGTGTTCAACCTTCAGCAAATAATCAAGATGCTCTCAAAGGCTCCGACTTCTTGATTTCTCGCAAGTTAAATGGAGATTAGGCATCAGAGAGCAAATGCACGAAGAAGAGAATAGCAGTCCTGACAACAGCAGAAATTACGGGTCGTCAATCCATTGGTTGCTGTGTTTTAATGACAAAATACGTTGAGAATTACAGCTCCAGAATACAGAACACAAACAATATATTTCCATAATACTTGAGCACTTCTTGTTTCATAAAATACGTGAAATAGCTTTTGGATCTTTGACCATTTCAGTGGGCACAATGGTCCTGTCGTTGGGCATCCAATAGTTTTCAAGTCAACATGAGAATTGTGATCCAACCCATCTAGAGGTTACACTATCATTTTTCCACCCCGGGATTGGGAATAAATTGTAGTGACTAAAGTAGTTCCTTCTGTGCAAATCTTTTGTTTGGATTGACCTGGTAGTTGCTTGTCTTCTCTTCCTGACCCAAAGGTGCTTTTTACGGAGGCAGCTGGACTGACTTTCTTGCTTTTGCTTTGGAAGACGTTTCGCTTCTCATTCAAGAAGCTTCTTCAGCTCTGATAGTGGGTCCTCTCAGAGCTGAAGAAGCTTCTTGGATGAGAAGAGAAATGCCTTCCAAAGCAAAAGCAAGAAAGTCAGTCCAGTTGCCTCCAGAAAAAAGTACCTTTGCGACAACCATGACCTGGATGACTGAGAATCTATTTTCATTTTATTTTTATTGATTTGACTTGTCAATCACTTACAAGGTAATAGGTATATGTATAAACATGAGTAAGAATACAGGAAATAGGTATGAATAAATGGGGACAATAGGACAGGGACGGTAGGCATGATTGTGTACGCCCCTTACAGGCCTCTTAGGAATGGGGCGAGGTCAATAGTGAAAGTGAATCTCTACAGGCTTGTCTTCCTGATTTCTGCTCTTGGGAATATACCTGCTGTTTAGATGAAACCGGCCCTGAAGTTTGATTTACATGAACTGCCTCTTTGAGAAAATATACAGGCCTTTTTATCACCGTTTTTGAACTGGACTTGTCGGCTGACTTAGAAACACATCAATTTCAGTATCAAAACAAATGGAAATTGAAAAATAAGAGCAAAGCTACCAACGTCTGGTAGCGTGGCCGAGCGGTCTAAGGCGCTGGATTAAGGCTCCAGTCTCTTCGGAGGCGTGGGTTCGAATCCCACCGCTGCCATTCAATTTTATACCACACACTTTCACTTTCGCCATTCATGGTAACATCCGGTTTGCGGCATAATGAGTCACATTTTATTGCTGTGCCTATACGGCTTCCGGATGCGAGAAATCCCTCGACCCGAGACAGGCGGATCGTAGCTTCCACCTTTCAACGCGCCCTCCTTTTGGGAGATCTGACGCTTCGAATGTAAAACCAAAGCAAAGCTTATTAGGCGGATTGTTTAAAATTCACAAACGACACACCTTGACAAAATGCACAAATGACACACTTGTGGGAGTTGTCGGAATTCAAAGTTGGTTGAGGCTGCCACTCTGCAGAACACCAGACATGAATTTTGGGTGGGAAATCCCATTGTCCTCAGACAAGCTAAGCATTTGTAAGGCAAGCAGTGTAGGCCAATTAATCGTTTATTTTCCATTGAAAAGAATAACAATCCAAAAATTGTTTCTGCCCGGTTTCGAACCGGGGACCTTTCGCGTGTTAGGCGAACGTGATAACCACTACACTACAGAAACTCCCTTCGCCATTTGTTTTCCTGAACGATCCTTATTTTATTTGTTTTGGTGGATGAACATTTTTTTTTGTTTACGTTAAGAGTAATTAACCGGGAAATCTTTAATTATCCTCAGTAAGCGAAGATTTTGACTGGCTTCGTTTGAAACCCAAGATTGCATTCTGGATGTGAGACGCGTGTTTTTCAAACCCAAGTTTTTTTTTCCCCTGAGCCTTCCTCATGCGTGCAAGTTTTTTTTCCCCCTGAGCCTTCCTCATGCGTGCAAGCAGGAAGAAGGTGCTAAAATTAACTGGATTTTGTGGAAAGAGTACATCGCCACATCGGTTTCCTTTGTTGCAAACTTTTCCTGTTCGGAGCCAGGAGCGGCTCAAAGTTTAGACTTTCCGGGTCTTCACTTTAATGTCTTTTGGCGATACGTAAAAAGGAGAAACTGTATGGGTCACCCAGGCCGAAAAGTCCTGTTTTGGAAATTTGGAGGAATTTCTCTCTTGAGACACAACACCCCAAACAAACAAACAAAAAAGGGCTCGTCCGGGATTTGAACCCGGGACCTCTCGCACCCAAAGCGAGAATCATACCCCTAGACCAACGAGCCACCGATAAATAAAACTTTTCCAATAGCTTACTTATTCCTCGCTGTACGGAAGCAATTTTTGTGTGTATAGTTTTGTTTTTTGCTTATTTTGTTTGCTTTGAAACTTACTTTCGCTACTGAACCGTAATTTCCCGACTCTTAATCCTCGCTTTTGTTTTAACTCCTCTGGTTTAAACCACGCCGTGACTGACATAATTTAAAACTGAAGAAGCTGCAGAATCTATTAATCCAGTTTTTTTCTAGAAAGGAAATCTACCCTTCACCACCGATCTCCCCCCACCTGAATTGTTCTAGCATTTAACAGCAGGATTTAAATGATTCTATTTTTCAGGGCTTACCCCCCCCTCAAAAAAACAAAGATTCTGGGGTGCCCATTTATCTAGGTGATACGTTTATTATGCAAAATTGGGATCTTGTACAAGCTTTGAAATGCTGCTGTTGTTTCAAGCAAGGACTTGACTGCAAGATTACAAACAAACAAAAAAAGTAATTCCTCTCCAAGGCAGAAAAAGCAAACGGGGAAGAGAGAGAAAGAAAAAGAAAGGCCCCAGCGAGATTTGAACTCGCGACCCCTGGTTTACAAGACCAGTGCTCTAACCCCTGAGCTATGGAGCCCACATGATACAGGCTCTCCTCTTTCCTGTGGATAAGGCTACCGCTCCGCTTGGCTGAAGCCTTATGGCGGCATGCTGATTGGCTCCTCCCTAAATGGGGAACCATCTTCAGAGCTTAGCCAGGGATCCCTGTCGAATAGCCCTACATTTTGTCCCTCCACATCTGCAAAGGCAGCAGCTCCACACGAAGTAATCCAGAAGCACTCCTTGCCGCGCTAACGTATTTTGGAGGGGAAAAGACACTGCGTGGAAACAGTGCCTCCTGCTGTCTAGAATGAGTCTTGACAGCGCACAGCTCTCCAGCAAAAAAAAAAAAGAGAGAGAGAGAGAGATCCTATGGGTTTAATGCATATATTTGACACGTTTAGAGTACATTGTAGTATTCGAAAACTCATTTTTGAGCTTTCTTGTGGTCCTTTATCGTAGGAATGTACGGTATCACTTCCAAAGTCATGTGGAAAAAAATAAGGACATGAAATTGTCCTCTTAATAAATGTACACGATATACTGCTTGATTTTAGATATTGCTAATTAGAAGATGCGTTTTTTTGTAAAGCAAAGACATAAACAATGCGGTTTTTTCATCTTTGTGGAGCTCTTTCAGATTTGCCCCTTTTTTCAGGTTTGTTCTTTGTTTTTTTCCAAGGAAATATGGTGACTGTCCCAAAAAGTAAAACGTCCAAACTCTGAGAAGGCTGTAGACCCACCATAGCTGCTATTAAATCATAAAACTGGCCTCATTTGATTTTTAAAAAGACCCAAATTTTCCTAAGAAAGAGCAAATATTCCCCTCCTGATACCACTGAGCATCTTAGCTCTGGGGAGACCCCAGAAGAGAGAATGCTATACCCCTCCCCAATAAGCCTCTGAAGGAAAAGTGGGGTTCATTTAAATGCAGAAACTTACTCTGAATTTCCAAATGGAGAGGAGCCTCACTGATAGAAAAGTCAAATAAGAGAATGAGCTATGAGGGCTTTATAATACAATATGCAAGCTTGAGTTTAAAGTATATATCAATGGCAAAAAGCAACAGTTATGGCTAATGGAGCGCTCTGCAGATTTTCAAATCAGTAATGGAATAAGGCCAGGGTGGCCACTCTCGCTATTAGAAATACTGGCAGAAAAAAGCCAAGGTTAATAAATCACAAAATTTGTAGCCAGGAATATAAGTTCAAATTGTATGTGGATGATGGTAGTATTGATGTCATATAGAATCATATGTTAAAGATAGAATATATGCACAACCAATAACCAATAACCTTCCTTCCTTCCTTCCTAGCTGAGAACCTAGATACCTGCTCATCTTTTCCTTATCCAGAAGCTGAAGAGCCCCACAATTAAATCTTACTCCTGAACAAACATACATTCCTGTCATACTCCTAATGTGGTGTGTGGAGCAGGTCCTGGGGTACAAATACTGTTCTGCTGTCCCAAGCACACCCCATTGCTGCTTTCATCCCTACGACTGTGTCTGATACCTGAGGCCGAGGCCTCCTCTGACTAATGCCAGGCCTGATGCAAGAGGAGGAAAAATAGGAGCTTTTCATCATCGCCCATGATGGCAAAGGTAAAAATTTGGAAATGATACAGAATTGACTTTATGCCCAACCTGTGTGGTGATTGTTTAAAATAACACTCTTTCCTCAATTCCCTCTCCTCCCACCACATCAAGATAGGTTTCCTAAGGCCATCTTACTCCAAGGGGAAAAAACAAACAAAAAGAACACAGTACTGTCCAAGCATCTTGATAAGAACCCGTTTATTTACATGTGGACAGGTTGATTTCAGGGTTGCAGGAGTTTACCAGGAGAGCATGTTAAATCCACACCTAGATTATCAATATTGTATTTCCCAAATGTGCTTCTTCTGATCCGCACCAAAGCTTAGTCAATCCCAGGTCCCATTTCAGGATAGATTCTTGTAAAGCAAGTCCACAGCATCCCGTCCGACAGATGGTACATTCCAAGCTATTTGGGACGGGCAAGCAAAGCCCACTGAATCCCCACTATCCACTATGGGTCTAGCTAGACAAAGGGAATGGCTTGCTGTTCTCTGGGTGCACATATACAAGGCCCAAGGGCAGGTGTCTTCAGGCATCCATCCGCATCTTCAGGATTTATTTGCAAAAGCCTCTTCACACAAGCAATCAATTCTGTACTGCAAGGTACAGTAAGTGCAAAAAGCCCGCAAGGCCACATCAAAGAGAATCTCCCCTGCATTCAAGAGCCAGCCACACATCATTTGCATTGAGAAATCCCACAGTCCAAGAACTAAAGCTGAAAAAAATAAACTTAAGAAAAGTAATTATTTTTTTAATAGTAAATAGAAACATTAGCTCTAATTGTGTGTGATTCTGTAGGATGAAATCTTTCTTCAACTGCCCCTGGGAACTGCACAGTATGTGGGCATCTTATATTTTGATGCCCCAAGCATTCTCTTTCCTCCACTAAGATACCTTGAGAAGAAGCCAAAGAGAGAGGGAGGGAGGGAGAAAGAGAGGACACAGATTATTTTACCCTTTCCTGCAACTCTTGACCAGTTGCCTTTCCTATACCAAGGTTCAAGAACCATGTTTATGTGGGGGTTTTGATGCTCTCTGAGCTTGGTCGTTTTCTTGCAGACGCTTCTCTACCCTTGATTGTTTACAAGCAATTTACAAGCAGTAAACAATACCCCAATCGAGGCATTACCAAATGAGACAAACAATCGAGCGGTAAAGAATAGCCTAATCAAGGAACTACCAAGAACATTCCCACCAATCCTTGTATATAAAACAGAGAGTAAAGCCCACTCCCCTTCTAGCACTGATGATGTTACCTAGTTGGACAATGAAATGTCTGCAAGAAAACATCCCCATTCAGAGAGCACTAAGGGCACCACGGTTCAACCTGGAGCTACAAATATTCTGTTAGTATTGGTGTTTGTATTAACATCAAATCAGAGACCCTGCTGGAGAGAAAGAACCGGACAAGGGAAAGCCTTCCAGCCATCACTTCCCTGTTGCGAAACATCACCTTTGTAACTCTTTTGGAGGAAAGACATAGCAGCTAGAGGGTGGGGACAGTCCTGTATGCAATTTTGACACAATTTACCATCTCTTTGTCATATTCCCTATTCCAAAGGAAGCTATTCCAAAGGAAGGGGAACCATTACACTTCTTCTCAACATTCAAGGCAGGTGAGATGCAATCCTACCTAACTGTGTGATAGGATTGGGTTAGACACAGAAGCTCAAACACCAAGGCTATTAACAGGACTCCTGCATGGCGTAGATAAATTGGTGGCATCTTCTGCAACTTTGTCCAAGATTTAGTTTTCAACCCCACTGCCATCTGAAGGTGGCCAGGTTTCTCACGTGTTTTCCCCACAACCCTTGTGTCTCCCTTGGAGGTCAGCCCCATATCAAAACAAGTAGCACTTGCATCACCAGGGCTTCTTCCTGTTTCTATCGAGGCATCCTTTTCGTCTCAGGAGCAAAGTTTAATATAGGTTATAGTGGAGCACACTGAGAAGAGCGGAAACATCTTCTCTGTGAAGGCGATGTTAAAGGTAAAGATGTGTTGCATGGTGTCAGCATTGTAGAAGGACACTTCCTCTCCTTCGTAGTCTAAGTAGACTCTAATTTTAATCAGCTTCTCGTTCAGAAAAAGCGGGGTGCGTTGAGGAGTGGTGACTGCCCAATATTGCCCTCCATTTTGCTGTAGGGCCCAAATGCCCTCTTCGGGGCAAAATTGAGTCAGCCCTTTCCTTCGCACCGATTCCTTGGCCACTCCAAAGGCCCAGCCGTCGGCGGATCCCACCTCCACCTCCCAGTAATGCCGCCCAGACTTGAACCCTTCCTTTGCCAGGACTCGAGAGTTGGTGTCAAAGCGTTTGGGGCTGTCAGAGAGGTCTTGCTTGCGGCAACCCATCCGCACCGTCTTGAGATCCGGCGAGATGAGGAGGAGGTGGTTGGCGGTCTCCAGATCCAGAAGCAAGTCCTCTAAGTTGAAGCACATAGCGCCATGTCAACTATCATAACCACAGTAATAGCAAGGAAAAGCAGCAGCAGCAAAGAGAGGGTGCAAAGGTCTGTGTGTGAAAATTAGAGGGTTCCTCTTTCTCTTTTGTTGAGTATTTTGCTTTGTTTTCATTTTCTTTTTTAAAAAAACCAAAAACTATGCCTAGGTAAGAGTCTGCAAGTAAAAAGAATTTCTCTCCTTGCTAATATGGCCCTTTTATGAACATGAGCATGGCTCGGGAATTCTGGGAGTTGAAGTTCACAGATCATAAAAGGGCCATAATGCCACACCCCTGTTTAGATCAAGGCAGGCCATAGTAACAGCACTGAGCAACATGTTTATTTTTTCACTGAAATATCTTTGCTTACTGGGAAACCCTGAAGATTTCCATCTGAACCTACCTGAATATTCCCATCTATTAATTGGATACGACTTGTCTTGCTTATTATACCAGCGCCAAACATTGAATCCTTTTACAGATAGTCCTCACCTTATGCCCATAAAGGAGCCCGTCAATTACGGTTGTAAGATGTAAGGGTCATAAAGTAATCATCCACATGACCGACTCAATTTTACAACCTTTTTTGTGGTGGTCATTAAGCAAACACCACAGTTGTAAAGTGAACCTTTGTTTGCTTTGGGCCAGTTTTCCTGAAAACTGGAGGTAAATGCTGGTTTTCTGCAAAATCGTCACAAAACACAGTTGTATGACCACTGGACTTTTGAAATGGCTGCAAATGCAACCATGCATAACATGTGGTTATGTGAATGCAGGGCGGTGGGGATGGAAGGCAGCTGTTGGAACTTTAGATCAGAGGTGAAAATACCCCTGGGGAGTTCTGTCATAACTTCAGTGACTGCGTAATCAGTTATAAGTCAAGGACTACTTGTAGCAAGTAATCATTATTGAAACAGCACTTTTTAAGTCTATCTTATTTACCTTTACAGAAGAGCAACCATGAATTATTATGACTATGTTTTGTTAAATTAATGGAAAAATAACATGTGGGAGAGAAGGGTAACATTTAAACATTGAAAAAGTGCCCTGTCATGGTAACAGAAAGCATAAACAGGAAGTCTACATCTATGCACTGCATGCATGATTTTGGCTTTGACAATTTTGCTTGGCTTATAACATTTACCTTTCTCACCTTTCCCCAGTTCATCCCGGAGATGATCTGAAAGAAGAGAACACATTTGTCAAGGAGTCAGATCTAAAAGGCAACAGAAAGCAGTTTTATCCAAATACCTTGAACTCAGTGTTCCTCAATCTCATACGCTCTATATCAGAGATGGTATTCACCAGGTTCTGACCAGTTCTGGAGAACCGGTAGTGGAAGTTTTGAGTAGTTCGGAGAACTGGCAAATACCACCTCTGACTGGAGATTTTACAGTATCCTTCCCCTGCCACGCCCACCAAGCCAGGCCCACAGAACCGGTAGTAAAAAAATTTGAATCCCACCACTGCTCTGTATATATTACTCATAAGACAAGCGTGGGCTGCTGGGGGTTCAGAGGGGTTTGGGACAGTGGAGGAATTCAAAGTTTTTTACTACCAGTTCTGTGGGCGTGGCTTGGTGGGCGTGGCAGGGGAAGGATACACTGCAAAATCCCCATTCCCTCCCCACCCCACTAACCTGCTTTCCAGCTCCATTCTCCTGTGCAGGACAACAAAAGAAGACCAGCCAATCAGCTGGGACTCGGGAGGCAGAGAATAGATGGCGGTGGGGCCAGTCATAGGTATATTTGCCGGTTCTCTGAACTACTCAAAATTTCCGCTACCGGTTCTCCAGAACTGGTCAGAACCTGCTGAATGCCACCTCTGGTTCAGGAGAGCCCCTAGCTAAGATTCTGTGCAGTTTGGAGAAACCCCAAATCCCACTCCTGGCTGGCCCCACCCCTTACAGGAGTCCCCACGTGGCCTGTTTTGGATGCAGGTAAGTGCAGGGCGTGTATGGAGGCTCAGGAGGGTGAAAAACGGGCCTCCCAGAAGTTCGGGAAGGCCAGAAATGGACCCGTTTCCGGCTTCCAGAGAGCCTCTGGAACCTGGGAGGCCATTTTCGCCTTCCTGGAGGCTCCAGGTGCAGGAGGCTGACTAGGCCACGCCCACCATGGCCACACCCACCCAGCAACAGGACAGAGAACACTATGCTAAATTTTTTGAAGCCCACCCCTGTCATAACAACATAGGAACAGCTCTGCTGATTCAGACCAAGGACCACTCTGTTATAGCATTTGGTTTCTCACAATGGCTAACCAAGGCAGAGATCTGACCCTTTCTCTGTAATATAGGTAGCCCTCAGTTTGTGACCACAATTGAGCCCAAAATTTCTATTGTTGAACAAGACAGTTGTTAAATTAATTTTGCCCCATTTTACAACCATTCTGGGCAAGGTTGTTAACTAAATCACTGCAGGTATTAAGTTAGTAACACAGTTGTTAAATAAATCTGGCTTTCCTGTTGACTTTGCTTGTCAGAAGGTCGCAAAAGGTGATCACATGACCCCCGGGACAATACAACCATCATAAGTACATGCCAGTTACCAAGAGTTTGAATTTTGATCACGTGACCATGGGGATGTCACAATGGTCGTGTGAAAAATGGCCACAGGTCATTTTTTCAGTGCCATTGTAACATCAAATAGTCACTGAATAAAAGGTTGTAAGCAAGGATACCCATACTTCCTTGGTATTTCAGAATCAGAATCAACTCAAAGTTGAGTTTTCAAGACTAAAAGCCTTGATAGACCTGTCCTCTATAAATTAGCCAACTCTATTCTAAAAATAGCCATCACCATGTCTTGTGGGAATAAATTCCATAGACTGATGAGATCTCCCAACAATCTAACCAACAGAACATCACTTTTAGGTTGGCCACCATAATATTAGGAATAAAGATCTCTGGCCCATTTCAGGACCATTTAACTACAAAAGCTTCTTCTTGAATATCATTCTCAAAAACAGACTCTACATGCTTGAGGAGAATGGTGTGTGGTAAAAATAGATAAGTGTTGTAAAACTTATTAGTAAAGGCAGACGATTGGGTGTCAAGTTAGAAGTGTAGAATATTAATACTAATTACTTTACTAATATGATTGATTTAAAATTACTTTACTGCTAAGATTTATAAAAGGATAGCCTTATTCACTTTTATATCAATCTTTTATATCAGACAATGTAACATAAATATAGCATGATTTTATCTTACTTGTGCAATTTTCACTCTTGCTTCTTAATTTTAATCGAAGTCATACAAACTTCCTACAAACTTCCTCCAGAAGTTCTAAATACCCCAACAGTGGGAGTTTTTAAGAAGAGATTGGATAACCATTTATCTGAAGTGATGTAGGGTTTCCTGCCTAAGCAGTGGGTTGGATTAGTAGACCTCCAAGATCCCTTCCATCTCTGTTATTCTATTCTATTCTATTCTATTCTATTCTATTCTATTCTATTCTATTCTATTCTATTCTATTCTATTCTATTCTAACTAGTTGTTGATTTCCTTTTTTCCAAGGACAGCTATATATGAACAATCAAGTATTGTTATTAATCATTGCCAGCATCAGAGCTTCCATGCCCCAAGTTTCTTTAGATGCTAAAATAATCAGATTTTCATGGCAAGTGTTCATTTTCTCTACCTTTGAACTTCTTAAGTACTTCCTTGAGCGACACTGTCTTCAAAGTGAAGTTGGAGACATGGCCCTTCATGTCAGAGGAAACTGGAACAGGCTTCTGACATTTAACTTTGTCACTTCTAACAAATAAGAAAAAGAAAGATATCAGGACTGGGAGGTAAACTTTCCATTATAGTTCAAAACAATTGGCAAGTTTGAGGCTTCAAAAGTTATTTCTCACCTGTGCTTTGATCCGAGTGGAAATTTAATGGCAAAAAATAGAGGAAATATTTAGTAAATTTCAGATTTTGCATTATAAAGTAGAGCTGGGATCCCCAAACTTGGCCACTTTGAGACTTGTGGATTTCAACTCCCAGAATTCTCCAGCCAGCTATGCTGGAGAATTCTGGGAGTTGAAGTCCACAAGTCTTAAAGTTGCCAAGTTTGGAGACCTCTGAAGTAGAGCTTCTAGATTCTTCAAGGACAAATTATTAATCTATTTCACACTTCTGAGAAGGAAAGGTTGAAATCATCTGAATCTTTAAGCTATCCTTCCCTCAGCTTGGTATTTGTTTGATTAAGTAGCACCAACTTGAGAGTAGATTCCTAGGAATTACATGGACAGATTTTCTCCAGGATGACCTAACCTGGAAGCCTCCAGATACACTAAGACAATTTCCAGAATTTCTTCCAACGGCACTTTTGGAAGTTCCAAAACACATCCAGATGACACTTGTTCGGGAAGGCTCTCATAAGACGACAGTGCAAATCCCTTTTTATGTTCATAGATTCATTTGACATACACATTGACAGGCATATTCCAAAAAGTGGACAGGGTCAAGGCACAACTGTGTAGAACTTAACTTTATGCGAATATGTACACCCACATATTTAAATAATTTCACCAAATTACAGTTTGATGACAACTTTCATTGGGGTTTTTATTTTTATATTAGCCATGGTGGTGCAGTGGTTAGAATGCAATATTGCAGGCTAATTCTGCCCATTGCTAAAAGTTTGATCCTGACCGACTCAAGGTTGACTCAGCCTTCCATCCTTCTGAAGTCAATAAAATGAGGACCTACATTGTTAGTGAATCTGTACACTGATTAGAGTGGGTTGTAAAGCACTGTGAAGCAGTATACAAGTCTAGAGGCCATTGCTATTTATGGAGATAAGGCAAGTTGGGCAACCTTAGGCAAAGCAAAAGTTTTAAGCCCAAGCTTGAGCAAACTCAAGCTCTCTGAACACATAGAAACTACTCTTTCAATCTAGCTCCTACTAGCTGTACCGCATATATAGATGAACGAAACTTAAGACTTTCAGAGCCAAAGAGTATCTTATTTCCCTACAAATAAGACATCAACAGCCTAGGATTGTTAACCCTGATCCAAGGAGGCTGGGCCACAGCATGTCTTTGAGACCATATTTCTCCAAACAGCTGTCACTGACTTTTTGATTTGTTCATACCCAAAGGGAAAGAGAGGGTGGAAATGCAGCTTCATACCTGGCAATAATAGCTGTCACATCCTACAAGAGAGAGAGAGAGGAAAAAAAGAACAGATGATTAGGGAAAGAGATGTCCTAGTCTATCGTACTACTAACTGGGGCTTCACTCATCAACTAAGAGACTTTTGATGGAGCCACCAAGAAAGGTGACCTGGCTGCAATTAACTTGAATATCATCCTTCTTTGTATTGGCCCCACAACTGTGAATTCCATCTTCATTGCAATGTAGATAGTCCTCGTTTAGTGACTACAATTGGGACTCCCAAGTCAGTCGTTAAGCAATGCAGGCACCAAGTGAAATGACAACTGTGCTTATGATCCTACTTCAGTTTTCCTTTGCTTTGCACATCTGTGAAAGTCATATACCTTTTCATCAATCTTAAGTGTGAAGAGTTGCTAAAAGAGGACTACCAGTATGACCTTGGCAGTCATTACTTTTAAATGTAGTCTGAAAACCATTATATAAATTATATTTTTACAAGCTGGCATTTTTCTTCTTGAAGTTCTTTTAACGTAATGTAGCAACAACTGTTTTTAATATTCTGATAGCTTGCCTTTATTATTATTTACTTCTAGGCCTAATTCATTTTCACTAAAAGTTTGGTTTTACTTAGTACTGTAAACCGCTGCAGGCAATTTGAAAAATAAATAAATGATAAATTTGCCTTATTTCTCCCTAGCCTTCTACATATCTTGTTGCTTCTCAGTTTGTTTACATCTCAGGAACTACAGGATTTGCTTTAAGAAAGACAAGGGGCTTAGTCATCTGATCGGGAAAAGCTTCCTACAACATTCCTGAAAAAGTAGAACCAATTCAGCTTTCTGAGTTGTCATGAAATCAGATGGACCTTGAATCATCAAGGAAAAAGCTGCAGAATACTCAACATACTTCCCACTGCACTTTCCAGCACCATGCTTAAGTACAGTAGACTATTAATAGATACCATTCACACTTAAGGGGACCTTAACCTTAATTTCTCAAGTGCTATGGTCTTCAGAAAAGAATGTGGCAATCTTTAAATAGTCATACGAAACTCTATAGTATGGAAACATCAGGTGTAACATGAGAGTAATGCTCATGGCCAAAACCTAAGGCCAGGGAGAACTTTCAAGTGGCAAAGATAGAAGGGTTTATCCAGTATAAATACAAACAGCCGCTGGCCTACATTTGAAAAGTTTGTTGAATTAAAGCCTCTAACCTCCAAACATTTTTTTCTATCAATTCTAAGAAATATTACAACATTTGGCCCTAGTTCATGAATAAATAAAAACCTCCGTTTATTTAAATCGGTGTTTTTCAAACTTGGCAATTTTTCAGATGGGTGGAAACACTGGCTGGGGGATTCTGGGTGTTGAAGTCCACTTATCTTAAAGTCGCCAAGGTTGAAAAACACTTATTTAAATGAATTAGGAAACACAAGCAGGTTTGTCTCTCCCTAAAACATTACACAAGTAAGCAATAATTCCAGACAGTTTCTCTTTTATATAACATTTGATCCCTGTTTATTGAGGCATGGAAGCACATAAATGCCATTTCCTTGATCAGTAGAATCCTATGATACACTCCTAAAATTATGTAATCTTTAGCCTGTTCAGCTGTACTACACTGCTGTTATAATTTTTGTAATATTTAAACAATTCAGGTAGAAAGCAATATGCCCCAAACCTGTCCAGTTGAAAAGATTTCAGGTAACATAATAATAAATCCAACTAGTAATCTCCTTCTCTCTGACATGAGCTTGAAAGCTATAAGTTAGTGAAACTAAGCCCTACCAGGTTTAGCCACAGTATATCTACCCAGTCACTAAATTGCTGCATTTTCTTTTGGTGTATTGAGTAAGCCATAGCTAAGTTTTCTCAACACCCAGTGATGTGCGCTAATGCAGAAAGACCTGATGTTACACAACATTTCTATATTTACAGATTACAAATAATCTGTATCAGTTGGAAGGGACCTTGTAGGTCATCTAGTCCAACCCCCCGCCCAAGCAGGAGACCCTACACCATTTCTGGCAAATGGCAGTCCAATCTCTTCTTGAAAGTCTCAAGTGATGGTGCTCCCAAAACTTTTGAGGGCAAGCTGTTCCGTTGGTTAATTGTTCTCACTGTCAGAAAGTTTCTCCTTATTTCCAGGTTAAATCTCTCCTTGTTCAGTTTCTATCCATTATTCCTTGTTTGGCCTACAGGCGCGTTAGAAAATAGCTTGACTCCTTCGTCCCTGTGGCAGCCCCTCAAATATTGGAAGACCGCTATCATGTCGCCCCTGGTCCTTCTCTTTACTAGACTAGCCAAGCCCAGTTCCTGCAACCGTTCGTTGTATGTTTTAGCCTCCAGTCCCCTAATCATCCTGGTTGCTCTTCTCTGTACTTTTTCTAGAGTCTCAACATCTTTTTTATAATGTGGTGAACAAAACTGGATGCAGTACTCTAGGTCTGGTCTTACTAAGGCTTTATAGAGTGGTATTAGTACCTCACTTGATCTTGATTGTATCCCTCTGTTAATGCAACTTAGGATTGCATTAGCTTTTTTGGCTGCTGCACACTGCTGGCTCATATTTAGCTGGTTGTCCACTAAGACTCCAAGATCCCTCTCACAGTTACTGCTGTTGAGCCTATATTTGTCTGTTGTTAAGTCTTACCTTCAGGAAATCAAGCAATGGTTCTTGGTTTTTGTCCTCCAGATCAGCAATGAATTTGTTGAGGAGGGAAATTTCCTTGGACAGCTCTGTGATGTTTTCATTCTGTCTTTTCACAATGCCCTTCTCCATCTTGTCCAGCTGTCCAAGGAGAACCTGTTCTTGATCATGGAGAAACTGGCGTAGCCCTTCAAATTCAGAGAGAACTTTCTGTCTCTCGGTTTCTATGGTTTTCTTTTTAAAAAGTGAAAGAAAAAAGACAAGGGAGCAGAAGACAATTATCCTAGAAGAATTATCACTGGAATAGACTTCACCAGTTTAATCATCCACCATGCTTTGCTAACTCCCAATACAGCTGAAGAGCACCAGTTTCAGGGAGACTGACCTAAAACTAGAAGGTAATCCTCAACTTACAACCACAATTGAGCCCAAAATTTCTGTTGTTAAGTGAGTTTTGCCTCATTTTTTTCCACAGTTGTGAATCCCTGCAGTTGTTAAGTTCGTAACATAGTTGATAAGCAAATCTGGCTTTCCCATTGACTTTACGGGTCAGAAGTTCACATAAGTTGATCATATGACACTGGGACATTGCAAGCGTCGTAAATAAGAGTCAGTTACCCAATGTCTTAATTTTGATCACATGACCATGGGAAGCTGCAATGGTTATAAGTGTGAAAAACAGTTATAAACCCCTCTTTCAGTGCTGTTGTAACTTCAAACAGTCTCTAAATGAACTGTTGTAAGTCAAGGACTACCTGTATTTTCCCACTGATGCTAGATAGTCATCATTTGGAAGACTATCTACAGTACAGTATATGAATGCCCTATAGGTAGAAAAGCAAGATATACATTGAATTCTATAAATGTTTCTCAAAGAAATCTCCAGTGTGGGCCTGAGAGGAACCTCTCCTACAGGATGTTGATATATTATTCTACTTCTATCCTGCTTTTCGAAGAACTACTAGGAGAAGATAAAGTGACATGTTTTATTATTCCACCTCAGTATATGGAAATAGGGACACAGTGCTTCTGAACACGGAAGTCTCACTCCTGGTTTGTGGTTGTGATATTAATAAACTAAAAAGAGTTTAGCCCTTCAAATTCAGAGAGGACCTTTTGTCTTTCAGTTTCTATGGTTTTCTTTTTAAAAAGCCAAAGATGACTGAGAATGTCCATAGACATTAACAAACAAAATCCTTTACTAAGATTTTCTTCAAAAATCTTATTGAGTCACATATCTGCATTCTGCATCTGACTGAACAATGCTGAACAAGCTTGCCAATTTCTGAGTAACAATAAGTACCTACCAGCAATTCTTGGCTCTTCTTGTCATCCTGAGTTTTGAATTCCAGGAGTTCCTGTCTCTCTTTCTTCAAGAAATCCAAGCGAGTCTGTATTTGTTCCTAAGGTCCAAAGTATACAGTTATTTTTTAAAGAATGCTTTCACAATTTTGAGGCAATCAAGATTTGAGAAGATTCCACACATTCACAGGAAAAATTATGAGTCTGTAAAGAATGTTATGAAGCCCCTAGCTATAATGATTTATGCCCTTACACCAACTATTAAATGGCATATTCTGGCAAACACTTATTATTGTGTAACACTTTACTACTATTTCAGTGTATTGTGATAAGCCGCTATGAGAGGAAGGAAGGAAGACATTGCCAGAGTCTTTGCTGTATTGAAATATAATTATAATTTTTATAGAAATATATTCTAAATAACTTGTAGTGAAACAGTTCACAGGGCTATGAAGTCAAAACTTCTTGGAGATTTTAATACAGGGGTTCCAGAAGTGGTATTCAGCAGGTTCTGTCCAGTTCTGGAGAACGGGTAGCGGAAAGTTTGAGTAGTTTGGAGAACCGGCAAATACCACCTCTGACTGGAGATTTTATAGTATCCTTCCCCTGCCACACCCACCAAACCATGCCCACAGAACCGGTAGGAATTTTTTTTGAATCCCACTACTGAGGGGTTCCCACCCCTGGGCCACGGGCCTCTTCCGGGACATGGCCATTTCGGAACTGGGCCACATGAGTGTGGCTGGCGCACAGGGCCACATGTAGCTTGACTTGCACAAGTGGCAGGCCAGCATGCATGTATGTGCGCGTGCAGCTCAACTTGCACAAGCGGTGGGCTGGTGGGCGCATGTGCTCACCAGCCCAACCCCTGGGCCACGGCCCACTTCCGGGCCATGGCCCATTTGGAACTGGGCCACACGAGTGGCTGGATGGCATACGGGGCATCTGTGCAGCTTAACTTGTGCAAATGGCAGATTGGCGTGCATGTATGCGCGCATGCAGCTCAACGTCTGCAAGCAATTGGCCGGCGGGCGCACATGCTTGCCAGCCCACCATTTGCATGAGTCACTTCCCCTCTCCCCTCCCCCTGCCAGACCATCAAGTCATAAAATTTGGGGACCACTGTTGTAATATATAGATAGAGCTACTATTTTCCCTACAGAAGGGCTCAGGTGCAATCTTTGTCATTTCCAAAGAAAATATGTGTGCAGGGAACTCGCAAGAGCCACATCAACAGTGTAACAAACAGGTTTGTCCAAGACGGGCCTGTAGTCTGACTTGGCATAAGGCAGTTGCACACAAACATCGGTAGAGTTGATTTGCTATTGGACTCTTTGCCATGAGAAAGAGTTGAACTGGGATTGGATCCAGACATCAAAAATAATGTAGGTTGTGTGTGCTTAAATAAATTCCTCGTGAAATTTCTGGATCACACAAACTTCAAAATCTAGTCTGTTACATCACAACCCCCATCATACCGAGCCCCACTCAACGGAAAGTAAGTTTTTTATAGCTTGGTGATCTGGAAGGCACTGAAGTGGGGAAGGCTGATTTAAAGTGTAATCCTGCCTTAAATCACTAATCTTCTCCATGCTATAGAGACCAAGGTTGGATATCTGTACATGGAGACAAATGTAGACATTTGAACCTCGCCTTCTAAGATGGCTGCCTTAAAGTAAAAATAAAAACAGGAGGAGATCACTTACTTTTCTGATTCAACTCTGTGCTTTCTCCCTAGGGGGAGGAGTGGGGATTCTCTGTGCATTGAAATGGAAGAAGAGAGCAGGTAGATAAATTCACTCCCAGAGGACTAACTATTCCTGAAAAGTTGATGTAAATAACCAGCTGCAAGAGTCTCTATTATGAGTGAAAAGATCCTCCCACTTGGCAGATCCCAGGGAGGCTCTTAGAAACAAACCAAGGACTCCACACACACATAGGGATAGACAGGCTTTAAATGAGAAACAGTTGAGCTGCCCAAATTATGGAAACCATCTCTTTCTTCTCTTTTTTTAAAAAATCTTTTTTTATTTTATTTAAAATACATACATTCATTTCATCTTTCATTTAACGGTATGTCGTCTAGTTACAAATGTCTTGTGCCGTAACAATTACATTTTACAACCATATTCATTATTTTAATATTAATTCTCTATTCTTGTCACATTCTTATCATATGAGTATATAAATTATTTCTATCACTATAACACTTCTCTTCTTTATGGATTCAATTCTATTAACGTATTTTCTGTATTTCAAGGGTCTAATAATTATTTCTAGCTTTCATATTTTTTCTCTAGCCATTGATAAAATAATTCCCATATCTGATCATATTCAGTTTGTTCCTTCTCTTTAATTGCAAGTATTAATCTGTTAATTTCTGCCCATTCTAGTATTTTCCTTATTACATTCTCTTCTGTCGGAATCTTTTCATTTTTCCAATTTTGTGTAAATACAATTCTAGCTGCGATTACTACATGGATAATTAAATATATCTTATCTTTACTGTACGTTTCTCTTCTCAATAAATCTTGCTAAAGAGACTCTCTGCAAACTACAGGTAGTCCTCGACTTACAACAGTTCATTTAATGACCGTTCAAAGTTCCAACAGCACTGAAAAAAAAGTGACATGACTGTTTTTCACATTTACAACCATGGCAGCATCCTCATGATCATGTGATCAAAATTAAGCAATAACTTGGCAATAACTATGAGAATAATAGTTATAATTATGGTATACAATATTATCTGTATTCAATAGAGATTATATTGTATAATTATGAGAACAATGGTTATAAGCAAGGTGTATATATTATTCAAAAGAGACTTGATATAGACAGTACACTGTCATTGCAGAAATGGAAATGTGATATATAATAAAGGAAAATGTATAATAAAAAATAATATATATAAAAAAATTAAGACGCTTGGCAACTGGCATGTACTTATGACAGTTGCGGTGTCCCAGGGTCAAATGATCCCCTTTTGTGACTTTCTGACAAGCCAAGTCAATGGGGAAGCCAGATTCATTTAACAACTGTGTTACTAACTTAACAACTGCAGTCATTCACTTAACAACTGTGGCAAGAAAGGTCATAAAATGGGGCAAAAACTCACTGCTGTCTCATTTAGCAAAAGAAATTTTGGGCTCAGTTGTGGTCCTAAGTCCAGGACTATCTGTACATTTCTTCATTTGTAAGAAAAAGAAAGATTGCAGAAGGTAATAGGAAGGTCCTCAAGCTTACATAGGAAATTAGCTTCTCAAATCTTCCCAGAGTGCCTCAGCTCACCTGCTCTTGTCGCCTCATCAGCTGCAGTTTCTATTTTTGTCTGGAAATTTGCACTAGGGCCACAAAGATCAAGCTTGGCTCTTGCTCTCCAGAGAATCAGTGTCAGTCTGAGATCTTGTGTCCACTTTGGGAAGGTTTCCTTCCAGAAATAGAACAGGAATTCAGGTCTTGGCTTAACCATTCCTTGCCTGGCATGGATTATCTCAGGTTTGCAATCAGCCCTATTTTGTTAATCCAAAGTCATTTACTCCAAAGGGAATTTAGGATTCATCAGTAGGCAGCTTTGGAAGTTTATATATTAAAATTGCAGGGTTCATCTTTTGTTACTAACTTACTTTCTCTATCCTACTTAAAATGTATTGCTTTCAATAATTATTAAAGAATTGGGGGAATGGGGGAGGCAGAACCATGGCACAGCTTAATTTATCTTGGTGACATAAAGTCTTCGCCTTCCTTCCTAAGCCTTCCTGCTAAATTGTGATTATAGCCATTGGATCAAAACAGGATTTTTTTCCTGACTTGAACTCGTGCAAGCTAATTTCAGTGTTTTGAGATGATTTTAGTAATCCTACTAAATGCAGTGAGGAAAGAGTATATTGGGAGACTATAAAAGGTAATCATTGCTACTGTAATGAGGAACTTTGTGTTATGTTCATGATAAACAAATGTACTACTGTGCAAGATTTCATGGACCACAGTCCACATGGAATAATATATGTGTGAAATTTTAGGACTGTACAAGAGTCTACCCTGGTTTTAACGCAAGGGAATAAAAGGGTTATCTCTCTGAGGGAAAACGTTTACAAAATGTTGTTTTTGTTATTATTTTGTTTACCATTGGAGAACACAAAAGGTGGAAATGGAAAACTGTGGAAAATAAAAAATGGAAAACTGGGTTTGGTCTTGGATCGTAATTTAATTTTGAATGGAAAACTTATCTAATCTTTGTGCTTTAAGGCAGGGGTCCCCAACCACCGGTCCACGGACCGGTACCGGTCCGTGGAACAAGTCCTACCAGGCCGCTGGTTTGCTGGGCGCCGCCATCTTTTTTTGATGAAAAAGTGCTTCCGGTGAGCTTTTCCAT